GAGGCAGACCAGGCACGAGCAACCTGGGGGCGCCGCCGAGTGCGCAAGCGGATGCGGCCTTTGAGAAGATCCATCGGCGACAGCCTGGACCCCTCACGGAAGCTAGCTTGGACACAGAGGAATCCATCCAAGAGGCCCGCGCAGATTAATCGCTGCTCAAAAAACGGGGGAGGGGCAATAAAGGTTAAACATCGGAACCAGGACTCTTCGCTTAAAAAAGGATGGAGGCAAGGGGCGAGAGCTAAACCCAGCCGTCGAAATTCAGGACATACCGCATAGTGCTCCATAGAGTCGCTGGCCCCAGGGGCGCCACAGTTCCAGCAGCATCCGATAGGCCCATGATGAAATCTAGCACTGGTACAGACACCCCTCGCCAGGACTCGTGAGACCGCGAGCCCCAGATAGAGAGAACTTGCCCTGCAAACCTTGCGGACAACCTGAACGGCGGCAGAGACCTGGGCGACGGAGACCCCAGGGACCCATCGGACCACCCGGGCGTGAAGGCAGCGGATAGGAAGGATCGGAGGAGCACGGACACGAAGGATTCGCGTGAGCTTCTTTTGAAACCCCGAGGCCTGAAGAAAGCCAGCGCACAGGTGGATGCGCCCACTCCACATGCCAATAAGAGACCGACAGAACGTGTGCTGCCACCAAGGATGCCGCATCCGAGCAGGGTGGAAATCGCCCTCCTGGGAAAGACCAAGAATCTGACCACGGATTCGCGGGAAAACAGCACTGTTGTGGGCAAGACGAACCTGAGTAGCAATACCGATCTGGGCCAGATCAGGGAACTCCAACGATAAGCCGAGGTCACACATCCTGGTACACATCAGTCTGTTGAAGGCAAACCGAGGACCCACCATGGGTTTCTGTTGCATGTTCCCTTCACACTTCAGAACCGCCGACGACGGAGGATAGAACTGCATCACACACCTGAGAACCGAGACGGCAAATATCACGTACGTTCTGATAGTCATAGCGAGCCCAATCCGAAGTCTCCGGATCTCAATGAAACGCTGATGAAATTTCTGCAGAGCGGTGCCCCACGCGCGCTTCCAACCTTCTGGGCCAATCTGGATCCCAAGACATCGAGCATGCCGAACCAACCCAATGGCATCAGCCCCATTCCCAAGACTAGAGAGTAACCTGCGAATCAGTCGAGACGAACGCGGAGAAAGGCTCAGACCACAGTGGATCAGCACACGCTTCTTCATGTTCAGAGCAAGCCCAACCCCAGGATGCAGACGCTGGAGTAGCGGGAGAAGGATCGGTAGATCAGCGTTCGCATCCCGAAGCCCGAACCACAAATCGTCAGCATATGCCAAGATTTGCCGAGGGAGACGACGACAAGGCCAGCGAATGCACGGGTCGAAGGCGAGAGCGAAGAGCAACATGCTGGACGGGTCCCCTTGGCGAACACCCCGTAGCAGGCGAATATCTCTGTGGCGCTTCCCACCAAAGCAGACGATCCCCAGGTTATCGGAGCACAGCGACTCGACAAAAAACAACAACTCCAGGAGGAACAGCCATCAGGACCAACACCCGAAGGAGCCAAGAAATCGCAATGCTCGGAAACGCAGCAGCAAAGCCGGTCAGGAACATGCAAGCCAGGTCCCCCCCTGTCATGCACTGCAGAACCCCCCAACACTCCGCCTCAAGAATCTGGTCTGTCATAGACCTCCCTCGAATGCAAGCCTGAACCTTGTGCGCGCACTCGCGCGCCTCTTTCTCCAGTTGGGAAGAGAACGCCACAGACATTATCTTACAGTCAGTGTTGGCCATGGCAAGAGGACGACATGCATCCGGAGACCGAGAGGGGCAGGCAGTAAGATCCGTCGGATTCCCCCCCTTGGCTAGGAAGACAAGAATCATTTCACGCATGGAAGGCGACATGTCGCGAGCACGATGGTCAAAGAGATGGCAGTAGAGATCATGCAGGATGGCAATCGGGATAGGGGACTTCCACCAAGAATAAACAATCCCATCAGGTCCTGGCATCGAATCGTGTCGCCCCCCTTACCAATTTCTCAAAGTCCTCAAAGTCAAGCCGCCATGAGCGCCAGGAAGGGGGCGGACAGGAGAGATGTGAGCTTCAAGCCCAGGCCAGAGAGAAGTGTCGCAATCGAACTCACCAAAGACCCTTTCCCAGTGCCGAGCCAGCTCCTCCCCCGCCTCCTCAACGGTGATGCACGGGGCACCACCAGAGTCCAGGATAGTCCCAAGAGAAATCCGTTTCTGAAGAAGCCTCCAGGGCTCACGACGCCTTTGTAGCCTGGAACGCAGCCGAGCCTTAATCTCAAAATCAGTCTCTTTGTCAGCTTCCTGCTCTAACCCAGTCAGCCGAAGGTTCTGGAGCGACTGGATGTGATCACAAAGCGCAGGGAGATTCCGACAGGTGAGAGGGTCGATGACGAAGAAGCGGGACAGGTGAGAGTAGCAAGAAATGGCAGAGGAGACTCGCTGTGCACGCCGAGCACGAATACCCCTCAACGCAGCCAATGAAAAGTGAATCTTCTCCTCTGCAGTCCGAGCGACTTGATGGGCGAGGAAGTAACGAGTCCGCTTGCAGGCCTCAAACATACACCTCTTGACCACGGCAACCTGATCATTAATCTGTGCAGTCCGATCCATTTCACACAGGAAGGCTTCAAGCTCAACATGAAACCGCGGATGCATCCCAATCCACGGAGGGATAGAGGGATTCTCAGAAGGCTGGCATTTCCGAAATGTGGCCAGTACAGGAACGTGGTCAGAGACATTCTGCGCAGTCGTGGCTTTGCCAATAGACGAGCACGTGATGGAGAGATCCGAGAGAACAGCAGTAGGAGAGGCAAGATACAGACGGTCGGGTCGGCTCACGTGGCAGATTTCCCCACTGGCAATCTCACGACGGGCAGGATCTGGCTGGTGGACCTCAGTCCAAGGAGGGAAGAAAGAGTGGAACATATCATGCGTATATTCATCTCCAGGCCTCCACCCCGATCCATCCCCGCACTGGCGACAATCCCCCTCGAGGGCGAAATTGACGCCCCCGCCAATCATAACCAGAGCGTCAGGAGTCCCCAGAGCGTTCCGAATAAGCCTCAGGGGCCTCCGAAATGCCCACATAGGCTCCCCCGGGGTAGGCAGGTGCACATTCAGGACCCAGAGAGCACCCCGTCGATCATTGCATTTAGAGACCAGGATACAGCCTTCATCAATACTGACATGTCGTATGTCCGTGAAGAGAGCGCAGAGAGAGCAGGAAAGATCAGCGTAATCGCACCACCAGCAATGTCAGAGATATGCCCTGAGAATCCAATCGACCAACCTTGCAGATCTGCCTGGAGTGCTGCTGCATCACCAGCCGTGCCATGGGTCTCTTGCACACGCAAAATACTGGAACGCCGAGACAATCCCAGAAGCTGCTTGCACCGACGAGAGGCCCGCAGAGAGGAGTGGTGAATGGAAGCGAAGAGCCCCCTAGAGTTCCATGCGAGCAAAGACAGAGAGCAAGAGGGAGGCGGGGAAAAGAGGAGCAACGATTCAACGGGCAGACCCCCGCTGGTCGAAGGGGAGCCCGAGTCGGAGTCGGAACTGCTCGAGCTACTGGCATCAAAGCTGGAAGAAATATTAAACTCAATCCTGCCTTCACGGGCGCGACGGGCACCCGCCAAAAAGTTCCTGGAGGCCCCTGGGGGGAACGGAAAAATTTGGTCCCCAGGGCGACCTAACCTGTCAGATTCAACTTCAAAAGGGACGCGTGAGCTCAGTAGCAAACGCAGCCTCGAATTTCGCACGGATCTCAGGGGCGTTCAGTCCAAGAGCACTAAGACCTGCTTCATATGGGCGAATGTGGATCACATCCGAGTTCTGGGGGCAGCCGGTGAGGCGGAAGAGAGGAACTGGATCTTCACGCGAGCGAAGGCCGAAGACACCCCCGCCGATTCCATTAGAGTTGGCCTGCAACCCAACCTTGGCAAGCTCTTCCTGGACCGCACCCCGTACCTTCCCCATCTTGAAGAAGAGAAGCCGATGCTGAGGAGACAGGTTACGACGAACACGAAGGGGCCAAACATCCTGCTGACTCCGTGGGTTAACCATGCTGTAACTCTCACTCAGCTTCCTGAAATTCATCTGGAAGTCCGAAGACATGGCGGGGGTAGGGAAGTCCAGGGTAACTTTCTTCTGGAGGTCATAAGCACGGATCCGAATAAGACTGGCTGCCTGCTCTGTCGCACACTTCGAGATGATGTCCTTGGCAACCCTCTCGAGAGAAGTGGCCATCAACCGATCCTGGAACCCAAGGATGAGCAGACGGTGGGCATCCTCCAGAGACGATCCTCCTCCTGCACTCCCTCCTGTGGTGGACCCGTCACCGATCGAGCTGTCAACTGCACGGCGCTTACCTCCTTGACTGTTGACAAGAGGGGGCAAACGAGCATTCACCTGAGCCGCCTGTTCCATAGCATTGAGACGATTCTCTGACTTCTCGAGGCGGTCGGTGATCTCTTTCATCATCTGGCCTTGTACTCCAACAGTGGCCGCAAGACCCGCGACCTTATCATCGATCGATTTCTCGATCTTGGCAAACTGGGTGTCGAACGTGGCCTGAAACATAGCTTGGATCGCAACCATATCGACCGCCATGGCGGTCAGATCTGAGAAGGGGCAGAGAGGGTATGCACTCAGTGGGGTGGTGAGCGAGAGCGCTGGCAGCCTGTCTGCCGAGACCCTCGAGCTGCTCCTCGGCTGCTCCCAAGCTGGAGCCACGGAGCAATGGTTCCAACTTGAGCCAAAATGGCTTGAGCCAACATGGCTACGGATGATGATGATGATGATGATGATGATATATGGCGATGGAACAGCCAGTGCGCTGGTGAACTGAAAGGGCTGCGATGATATACAAAGTCTGGCCAGGCGGGAGCGGAGGAGGAGGAGGAACACAAGGCAACGCTAGACAGAAGACTCTAGCAAGCGAACCGCTTCGCTCTACTGCTGCGTCTGGGACCGCGCCAGCTCTACACAGGAGCTCCATCGTTGTTGTAACCGCCCATGGCAGACACGAGTCCTTGTGCGGGACTCGCCTTGGAAAGAGTGCAAGAAGCGGTGCATGGTCAACCACGAGTCGGCTTGCAGACCAAGAGGCACGGGAGACCAAGCCCCGGGATCGTGAGCGCGGCGGACGTGCGTGTCCCAGGAGACGACAGACTTGGCCCACGCAGCGCTCCATCTGCCACATGACGTGGCAAGGCGCCCCCCGAGAAGATGACGCCTCCCCTCCGTGCGAAGGCCTCATGAGACGCACCGCTTTTCCGTTTGACTTGCATCAAGGAAGTGAAGAACGTTCGCTGGAGCCTGTCGAGCTTGGCCGCGTACGTCTTGACGTACGGCCACCTTGACCAACAGAAACTACCAACGGACCGAACGCATGTGTTCATGACCCGGTACTTGGCAGAGATCGGCGCGCGAAGCAGGCCCGCCGTCAGGTTGGCGTAGAAAGACTTCGCCATGGCTGCTGCGGACTTCTGGAAACAGGTGCGTAGGCCACCGTCGTCGTCGATGCGGTGGCCGAGGCACTTCAACACAGAGTGCCTCGTCCATGCCGGTGGGAGGTTGATGGCGTGCGGGTAGGCCCTGCACGTCATGAACTCCTTGGTGTCCGCGCCGATGTTCAAACACCATCGTTTTCGCGGCTCTTCTTCGCAACGGGCCATAATGGTGATGGCATTCTCTGGTGTCTCTGCAATCGTGAGCAGGTTGTCGACGAATGTGGCATTGCAGCAGCACGCATTGTCCACCTGCAGAGCAGATCGTTGCCACTCCGGGAAAGATACCGCGGCGAAGTACAGGAGGGGCAATGTACCACCAGCGGCTGCAAACCTAAACCCAGTGAACAGTCCAACACATCGATTTCTGAAGACGGCCTGATGCGACCCCACACTGAGCGCTGTAGTAGGCAGAGACTGCATCCGCAGGACAGTCGCGCAAACTTCTGCACTGTCATATCGTTCTCCCAACCATCTGGAGAGGGTCTGCGGCTAGAGTAGGAAGAATGCCGATGCTGAAATCCCCCATGAACACGCACGGCCTTCTTCTGGGCCTGTTCTCGTACAGCAACGCTCTATCAAACAAGCTGGCATGCGCGTCGTCACCCAGCGCAGCATGTACGAAAATAGTGATGATGACGAAGATGATTTTGATGATGATGATGAGGCGGACGGCGGCGGCGATGATGACGAGGGCGACATCAACAAAGATGATGATGATAATGATGATGATGATGATGATGATGATGATGATGATGATGATGATGATGATGAGAACCAGGAGGACGATGACGATGATGATGTTGATGATGATGATTATGATGACATGGTGACCACGCGGGTGATGATACAAACAATGACTCTGGTAACGAAGATGACAACGACGATGGCCACGATGACGCCGTCGACGATGACACCAATAGGGGTAATGTAAAATATGAGGAGGTGCGCGCGCAGGAATAATTACAGAACTCTGGATGAAGTGCCAAACCAACAGTGTTGTGTATGATGTGTTCGACGGACCCTGTGTCAACATGGTGCGAGTACAATTGGGGAGAGCTGTGACGTGCGCACGCGGAAACGCGCGCGTGCCCGCACGAAAAAACATGTGATAGAGTTTGCTTGTCTGAGAACGTTGCTGCGTAGGTTCGGCACGCGCGCCCGTGTGGCCCGCACGAACACAGTTGGCTGAACGATGGCGTCTTGAGGTTGCAGCGAATGCTTCCGCGCAGACGTCGGGTACTTCTGTGCTGCGTCAAGTCATGGTTGCTTTGATAGTTGATGAGCAGCTTCGGAAAACAAGAGTACGACCATGCATTGATCGGTCGAAGAGCACTGTCTCGGCATGGTTGGCATGCGCGCATGGGGGCGCGCGCATGTTACCAGCAGGGTGATATCTATAGGGGTTGTTACCCAATGCTCCTGTTAGACTAACGCATGCGAATTGTATTGTAGGTGCTTGAAAAGTGCTGGAATGCTTGGACGGTCGGATTAAGGATCGTGCAATTTACTTTTGGGAAGGAATCAAGGTGCGGAGGAGGGCGATCTCCCTGGCCTCGAAGTGGGGGACAGTCTAAGTCTTTCTGGGACGAGGAATCCCTGCGCTGCAGCGTATGGGGTGCAATCCATAGGGTGCTCTCTGGCTACGGACGCAGCCAGCAAAGGGGCGGCAGAGGGGCGTTGGCGGCAAAAGGGGCGGAAATCCGGAATTCCCCCGCAAGTCCTTAGGAAGGAATTCCATTTGAAACTGTTGTCCCCTCCCCGTTGCCACCTTGGGCCCTCCTCCCTAGGCGCGCCAGTCCAAGGAAACTGCAGCAGCATCGTTGTCGAGCCGGCAGGGAGCCCCTGCCATTTGGCCCCCCCCCCCCGCGGTCGGGAGAGGGTTCCTGGGAGAGCGCCCGGGGCCGGGGCCCGGGGGCGGGTCCAGTGGAGAAGCCTCGCCTTCGACTTGCCTTCCACCGTAGGCCGAGAGCTGACAAGCAGCGCGGTTCGCAATCCAAATCTCCAATTTGCCACAAGGTGGTCCCAGGGGCCAGTGCTGAAGCCGCCGTGAGCTCCCTGGAGTCCTCGAGGTCTTCGGAGCCAAATCAAGAAGCCCAGACCAGTAAAGACACCCTGTAAAGACAACCTTGAAGTCAGATGCTTGCAACATTGTCCCTTTCCGATAAAGGATTGTGCAAAGCGTCCAGCGACGGTCAACGAGACCCACACGATAGCCACACGGCAGCCCCCGGAAGCTCCCAAGTGGGGCCCACGAGGCCACCAAGACGGTCCCACGACTGCCTGAAAAGCGCGCCACCGACAGATCTCTGGAACCCCACCCATCAAGGTGGACCCAGGACCCCCCAGAGACCGCCAAAAGGCAGCAAGAGGCCTTTAGGAAACTACCTAGGCGTCACAGACAAAACACAGAGGGGCTCCCCACAAGACCCCAAGAGGCCTCCATAATGACTCTGGTCCACAACCTGGGGCCTGTTGGAGCGAACGCCACTAGATCCGCCGCCTGCTACTGAATCCTCACTGGGGTACGTGGCTAGCAAACGTTTCTGATCTTTTCTGGCGTCGAAGAACATTGTCGTCAGCGCAACCCGCCAGCCACAGGAAAAGCAGTCAACGAGATCCCCTGTCTGTTGTTCCGCACAAGATGGGGCCCTAACACAATCTCCAAGACGGCGGGACAAAGCAAGGACGGCCTGCAATACGGTCCCCAATTCGCCCCACAAATTGCCAAGACGGCCCCACGAGAACCCAAGATGGCCCAAGATGCCCCAGTACGGAAGAACGTGGCTCCAAAGCGTAGTGAACGCAATGAGTTTGCTCATCCAACGGTTCGCGTTCACTGACCAAGAAGACCCCAGGAGGCTTCCACCAAAGCCCCACGAAAGCTCCAGACGCTCCCAGGAGGGGGCCCCAGAGGCCCGAAAGGCGGCCCCAAGAGGACCCAAGCGAACTCCCAGACTGCCATTAAGCACCCCACAACGGCCCGAAGACGTCCCAAGAGCCACAAGGTGACCCAATACGCCCCCAGAGCCCCCCCGAGGCCCCCAAGGGGACCCTAAGAAGCCCCAACCGCCCCCAAGAGACCCCCGAGAAGCACCTAAGAGAACACCATGAAGGCCCCTAGAGACTCCAAAGAACACCCCCAGCGACTCCCAAGAGGCATCCGCCTGCTCGTCCTCCTGCAGCTGGGGATTCACGTCGATCCGAGAGAGCCCGACGAAGGCGACGAGAGGCCAATCACAGCAAAACCCAATAATGCATTCAGAATGTCCAAGGAGAACGCTCGCAGAACCTCCGCTCGGAGAACCTCCAACGTTTGCCTGTTTTGCTGCGCCGTTGCTTTTTGATTCATTACTGTCCCTCCCGCCTCCGCCGTCATTGCCGATCTCCTTCCAGGATGGGTTGGAGCCGACCGTAAGGCCTTTGCAATACGATCCCCATTGGTGCAAGCACTGTCAGGGTAGCATGTGTTCTTGCTCCTCCGATGCTTCTCGGCTACAGACCGCCTCGGGAAAGCCTTCTTCGCGAGCCCCCACGAGCCCCTCAGACGCCCCACGACGTCCCCAAACGGCGCGAGAACCACGAACGGCCGAAACTGCCACACAACCCACCCAGCCGCCCCCGAGATGACTCAACCGAGCTATTTCGAGAGCGCTCAGAAAAACCTTTGCGCCCAAGACGGCCCTGAGCTCTGAGCACAGAAGTAGAAACGAGGAATGGAGAAGGAGAAGAGAGAAGGAGAACACAAGAAAGGAATCAACCATAGGAAACGAGGAGGAGAGGGAGGAGGAGAAGGGAGCCGGATGAGGAGAAGCAGGAAGAGATGAGGAGAGAAGGAGCGGGAGGAGGAGGAGGAGGACGGAGGGGAGGGGAGAAAGAGCAGGAGGAGGGGAGGGGAGTTGGGGCAGGAGGAGAGGAGGATTAAGGAGGAAGAGGAGGAAGCAGAGGTGAGGGGTACGCGGCGCGGCGCAAAGGAAACCAAACCACAAACCCATTGCACATCTGACTCTACAACTGCCGTCGGCAGCCGGGAACCGCTTGTGAGCCCCACTCCTGCAGGAGAGATTTCTGAAGCATGCGGCTGGGATTTCTGAAGGCTGTCTGCGGCCAAGTGACATCTAGCTGGGGAATCCAGAAGATACCCATACCCCATACTCCGTGGACCTCCCC